CTCTCTCTCTCTCTCTCTCTCTCTCTCTCTCTCTCTCTCTCTCTCTCTCTCTCTCAAGAAGCTGAAGGTGGGTAGCATTGTTCTTTGAGAAGAGGGCAGTGAGCGCGTCCCATGCTTGTTTGGATGTCATAATATCTTTAGTACGTGAAAGAAAACTCTTATCTATTATGGTATGTATCACGTATAAATTTTTCCCTGCATTTATATTCCACTTCTTTAGTGCATGTGCATTCTCCGTCGGTGGTGAGGTGTTGTTGGCACCAACAATAGCCTATAAGTTCTGACCTCTGAGACAGTACTTAATACACGCCAGCCAATCTTCTTAGTTGTACTCATTGAGATTCTCTATACTGCCAGAAGCACTGATCTAATCTAACACCGTGACTTGGCTATCCTTCACATTCCAAGTAAGCCTAGTTCCAGACACAAAGCCTAGTCCCAGACACACAAGTTTCATTATCCCTGACTATGCACATTCAGGATCGCCCTCAAACAAAGTCTCAAATAAGTTTCCCAACTGATTAGCACACTTTAGACATTGGTCCTAATCACCTGCTCTAATACCAAACTATTAGATTTTGGAGAAGACAACTTTGTTCACAAAGGAGACTTTTATTAACAGAACACTAAAGATTACAATACTCATTCTTACAAGATCATCTTACTAGCATATAACTCTCTTATTTTGGACACTGACACAAGCTTACACTACACATCCAAGCTCTTGAGCTCACTTCTTGCTTGGTTGCTCAAATGAGTCCTCAACAAGACCCTTATTTATACTTGCCAAAAGTGCAAGGAAGTGTGTAGAAGAGTGAATCCTTGCCATACACTAATAGAAAGTATCTGGAACGATGAATTTGAGCCATACACTTGTATGCCTCTACAAATTTCTTGATAGAACTTACCCTATGGGATAATGCTCAAGAAATTCTAGAGCATTACTCTAGATATTTCAAAGTTTGTGAGGATTTTCAACAGAATACTTAACAAAAGCTTTCCTATCCACACCGCTCCCCATCCTCCCGTTTGACAATGGAAATTTCTTCTTCCAGCATGTGCCGTTATTATAATCATCAGCATATATCGCAACTAAACAGAAACAATCATTCAAGCATTCATTTATACACTGTAACTCTGTCATGGGGCTGTACTGCTCAGCGTCGGATAATGGCCAGTCGACATTGTTGAGGGTGGCGAAATGGAATTGGGTTTTGTTGTTGGGTTCGCAGGGTTGAGGGGTAAAATTGGGCTTGCAACCTTTGAATTTGAGGTTTGGGTTTATGAAGGAGTAATTTGGGGGGCAAAGGCAGTGAGTTTTCTCTTGTGAATCTGGATTGCTGCAATAGCTGTTGAAGCCGCAAGGCCCGCTGAATGTTTCGAAGCTTATGGTGCAGATGTCTTCGGCTACTTGGTTTGTCACGGTCCAATCTGAGTTTGTGCTGCCCTTTGGAAATGAGTATTGCCTGAAAATAAATTGGATTGGATTTAGACTGGAAAACTAATTACAAACTAAAACAGTCGTAGCATTAATTTACATATTCCTAGTCATCAACTTTTCAAGACAATTGTTTTTTCTTACCCAAGTTAAAGTGAGGGTAAAAGGTAATTTATCATCACGTGATAAAAGCTAACACTTTTGTAACTTGGAAAATAATGTTGTCTGGAGCTGTGTAAGTGCTAATAAAAATAGTTTGGAGATTATAAATAGTAAAGAAATGTATCTTTTTTTTTTTTGAATGAAGAATTTACCTGTACGCACACATGCATATATATCTATACATTATGAGGTACATGCTCAAGTAAATTTACATCTAGATGCATGAAACTTTCTGATCATTTATACACCTATATCTTTACATGCAGCTAGAAGTCAAGCATGTTTGTTACAAGATCAATTATTGCATACAAGCAAACAAGCCACTTAGAGCTGAACTATAGTCACAATGACCGCATCAATTCATTTAATTTAATGTATGCATCAACTTAATCCATGATATATTCGCCCAACCCATCTAAATCACCTATCACTACACTTTAAATTAATTTTCAGTGTCTCACTAAAAGTTTGACACTAAGTTCCCTCTGCACTATTTATCTATATTAAACCAAAAATAAAAATCAATTATTTCTATTAAAAAACTAGTTTCTTGTATACTTAAAAAATCGGAAAAGTTATAAACAGGTTAACTGAGGGCCTTCACGATGTCCATACTTTTTTTTTAAAGCCTAGAAAAATCAGAATTTGCTTTAAGAAAATCGATCAAAGCAGAATCACGAGCTAATAATTACACCCCAAATTAAAAAAATCAGAAGAAGAACCTAAAAACGCCGTCAGTGTCCACAGTGGCTCTCAAATAATAACCTCCGCCGGCACCACCACCACCAAGCGCAGGTGCGGAAAACACAGAAATCACACCGCCACTAGGATATGATAAATACAAACTCCTCGTGCTTTCATTGAACACAAGCTTATTGCTCCCAGAATCGGAACCCTGCGTAAACCAATATGAATCATACTCAAAAGCGCTAGGATAAGCACGCGGTATCAGAGCGAGGTTGCCATCATCCTGGAACTTCAACTTGAATCGCCCTGGAGAGTAATCATCGTCCGTTAGTTTTGCATACATCGACGTCCCCTTATTTAGGGTTTGTCCGGGCAAGATTGTGTCGGTTGGATTGTGGAAGGTTTGCCATAATATGCCTGATTTTGAGCTTGAGAGTACGAAGTTGCCAGTGTCGAGCATGGCTGCAGATGTTGCACCGTTGACACCGGCATTCCAAATTTCATTGCCTGTAGGGCCAGTGGGTTTATATATTGAATGATAGGATATAAAATAAAAAAGGAGCTTAAGCATATTCAAACATCAGCATATATATCGAGTTATATAAATCATATTCGGAAAAGAAAATATATAATTTAGCTGGAAAAATTCTCCGATTAAAGTGGGATTAATTGCAGATAAACCCACCGTGCTAACGCCAAATTGCTAGAAAATTTCTCAGGTCTGTTAGTTTCGCATTAAGATTGAGCTTCGTATGTTGGGTTTAAATCCAATATATTGGCCAATATATTAAATAGATATGTATTATGTGCTATCAATCAAGATTACCCTATTAAAGTGATCTAATTTAGGGTCTAGGTTTTTAATGGATAATTAAAGTATGAGCCTCCTATGTGTAGAGACAAAAAATATAATTATTAATTCTATGATGGGCTGAATTGATAATTATGAATAACTGATATCAGTTATAAATAGGGTTATGGTTCCCCAAATCTCCAGGTAGAATCTCTTTTTGCTTTTTTTATCTTAAGAAGGGTTAGGGTTTGTCTAAGGAGGATATAATACGTACAAGATTTGAAAGATTTACATCTCAAAAAAAAAAAAACTCAAGAATCACATCCTACTCAATGGATTCAGGTTTGGTTCCGCATCTTTTTAATTATTTCAATAGTTTGACATGAACAATCTTAGGATTGATTAGGGTTTTATCTATTAAAGCAAAAGTTTTCTTTTGACCTAACAATTGGTATCAAAGCTGTGTTCATGTTAACCAATTGAGAATCAATTTTAATTTGTGATGTGATTCTCTTGCACGTTATCAAATCTAAAATTTTTTAATTGTTTAATTTGAGAACAATAATTGGTAGTTCTTCCTCTTATATATTCTTTATGATTTCAGATTCAAAAGCGTTATTATATTTTAAATTTTATGAATCCGATTTAGAAGAATTGATGTTTGAATGAAATTTTTTGCTACAGCCACTACAGTGCCAGCCGGAAAGAAAGATTGCTACAGTAACAAAACTACAGTTTTCCTCGTGCTGCAGTATTTTCAATTGCTACATTATGGAGTTACAAGATTCAGCCCCACTCTTTTTGTTTGGGGATTTAGCCGGAACAATTTGCTACAGTATTGACCTTTTTGCTACAGTGACAAAACAAATTTGCTATAGCGCTGAAAGGTCGGATTTTTCTTTTCTTTGACCTTGGTCGCAGTTCCATCTTAGACCCACTGTAACTTTTTGGGCTTCTGGAATTTAATTTAATTTAATTTAATTTAAAAAACTTATTGGATTAGGCCCACTACAGTGTTGTTTTGTTTGGAATTTGATTAATTGGATTAGGCCCACCTGTAGTATTTGGCTGACATTTAGAATTTTTATTTATTTTTTTTATTTTGATTGGATTCAAAATATTAGCATTAAAGTTTATTAAAGATATATAATGTGTTGAAAAGAATTGATTGAAATAACATGTTACCAAAATAGCCTCTCTTGTATAGATCAATTTATTTAAAACATCAACATGGTAATGTGTGTATGGGTCGTGCAAATATTAATCAGCCCAAATGAAGGTTAATATTTGAATAAATCATATGCATACATGTGGTGATAAATATGGGTAATTATTCGGTTTTACATATGAATAATAAATTGGTCCAAAGAAATGTTTATTATTTGACATGTCTTACTGTCAATGTTTGATCACTATACCAACAGTAACACTTACAAATTAATATTTTTGTGCAAAGACTAAATATTAATATTGTGTTAGGTATCTTGAGATGGGCATTGCTAATTTTGAATTTATAAATTTGGATTTGGCTTCTTATGTGAGCTTATTTAGTTTTTTATGTTCTTCTCTGATTCAGCTATTAGTTCTGCTTCAAACATCACTACCAACATTAATTATATTCCTATGCTAAATGGCACCAACTTCAAGTCATGGCAAGAGAACGTTATGATAGTTCTCGGAGTCGTGGATCTCGACCTTGCGTTAAGGCTTCCTTCTCCTGTACCTCTTACGGACAAAAGTTCCGCTAATGAGAAAAGAGACTTGGAGAGATGGGAGAAGTCAAATCGCATGTGTATGATGATCATGAAGAGGGCCATTCCAGAAGCATTCAGGGGCACAATGTCTGAGAAGATAACTACTGCCAAAGAGTTCCTTGAGGACATTGAGAAAAAAATTACTAAGAATGAAAAGGCTGAAACTAGTACACTTTTGGCAAATCTTATCTCAATGAGGTACAAGGGGAAAGGAAACATTAGGGAGTATATTATGGAGATGTCTTATATTGCTTCAAAGCTGAAAGCACTTAAGTTTGAACTCTCTGAGGACTTGCTTGTGCATTTGGTTCTTATATCTCTTCCCACACAATTTAGTCAATTCAAAGTGAGCTATAATTGTCAAAAGGAGACTTGGTCTCTTAATGAGCTTATCTCACATTGTGTTCAAGAAGAGGAAAGTTTGAAGCAAGAGAAGACAAAAAGTGCTCATTTGGCTAGCACTTCCAAGGACAAAGGGAAGAAAAGAATGAAAAATAAAGAAGCTGTAGAAGCTCAACCACAAAAGAAACAACAAAAAGCAAATAATAAAGATGGGTGTTTCTTTTGTGGGGCTACGGGACATTAGAAGAAAAATTGTACCAACTATCACGCATGACGTGTAAAGAAAGGTACACTTTTTAATTTTATTTGTTCTGAGGTTAATTTATATTCGGTACCTAGACACACGTGGTGGTTAGATTTTGCTGTCATAACTAACATCAGTGTGTCTATGAAGGGTTACATAAGCTGTCAAAAGCCAAGTGATGGTGAAAGATACATCTATGTGGGCAATGGCAAGAAGGTTAAAGTTGAGGCAAATGAGACATTTAGGCCCCGTTTGGCAAAGGGTTAATGAAGAGGGGTTAAAGAGAATGATTAATGTACTTAGTCCATTTGATAATCCGAATGACTAAATTATTAACCCGTTAAATAAGTTTTATTTTAGCCCTTATGATCAGTTTTAGTGTTTGGGAATAACAATGATTTTGACTATTTTCTTTATAATTAGAAGGGTTAACTCTTATTCCATCTAAATAGGAGTATTAGTAAACCCCTCATTTTGAGGGGTTAACTCATTTTAACCCCTCTAGAGGGGTTAACTTAACCCTTCTATATTTTTTATGTTTGGCAAATTATGGAGGGTTAACTCACTTTAACCCTTATATAGATTTGTTGTGTTTGGCAGGTTAAGAAGGGGTTAAGTCTCCTTAACCCCTCACTTAACCCTTTGCCAAACGATACCTTAGGTTATTGTTAAAGTTCGGTTGTTATTTGAATTTGAAAGAGACTTATGTAGTACCATCATTTGGACGGAATTTAATTTCTATTCATGTATTGGATAAATTTGGTTATTTTTATTCTTTTAGAAATGGTAAATTTAATCTTTTTCAGAATTCAAATTTGGTTGGTACCCGTTCTTTATCTTATGTTGCTAACATTTATTTTCTTGATACGGTTGCTTCATATCATGAAACCTTGCAATTAAGCACTCGAGGTGTAAAGAGAAAATTGACCCATGGGAATTTCGCTTCGTTATGGCACAAGAGATTAGGTCACATCTTCAAAAGGAGAATTGAGAGACTTGTGTCAAACGGGATTCTAAACCCCCTTGATTTTACAAACTTTAAAGTTTGTATTAATTGTATAAAGGGAAAACAAACAAACATAAGGAGATTTGGTGCCAACAAGGCTACAGACGTAATAGAACTAATACATATAGATATTTTTGGGTCATTCCCTATCGTTTCTTGGAATGATCAACAATATTTTATCACATTCATAGACAATTTTTGCGTTATGGCTACCTTTATCTCATACATGAAAAGTCCCAATCACTGGACGTATTCAAAGCTTACAAAGCTAAAGTTGAGAACCAACTCAACAAAAGTATCAAAAGCGTTGGATCTGACCGTGGAGGTGAGTATTACAGCAGATATGACGGTTCAGGTGAACAACGTCTAGGACCGTTTGCTAAATTCCTAGAGGAGTGTGTTGGCCTTCTTGTTTTGATGATGATTTACAAACAATTTACATCTAATATTGTTTGTCTAGTGTTTGTGTTTTATATTTATTCTAGGCAAACAATAAGTTGGAGGATGGATGGAATAGAGCTTCAACGATCACATCCAAAGGAGGTTGGCGGAATGGCGGTGAAGCCTTGCTATTCAAAGTTTAAGATCCAAGTTCAAGCTTCATCCGCGAGATTACCAAGTAGAGTTTATTGAAGACCAATCAAGCTTGGGTAATTTAGTTTAGGAATTTATATTATGTGTGTTAGTACTTTAAGCTCAATCATATACACACATACACGTTTTGGATTTTATATATATACAGTTATATATATACATATATGTTTTGGTTTGATAGTTTTCAAGTTTTACTATGAAACAAATGAATAGAATTGGAAAATACTATTTTGTTTCATGTTTATATGCCTATATATGATTTCCCTTTTAACAAGCTTATATTTAATGAAATCATATTTCGTGTTTTGAATATATTGCATAGAATATGCAAATTTATGAAAATATTATATTTCTAGATTATAGACTTCATAACAACATGTTATATCTTTTATCAAGTCTATACAATCATTTCATAAGGTTTCAAAATGTTGTTTAAGTCAAAATATCAAAATATCAATTTTCAGGTTTTCATGTTTTGGACTATTTTGCAAAATGATGATATTTCTCATTTGGGAAGTCTTTTTAGAAAACCAGTTTTTGTAGCATGTGTATTATCATGTCTACACGAAGAAGTCTGCCTCCCTTTCCTTGTTTTCAGACCTGCTCGCGGTCGACCGGATTTGCCATCGGTCGACCGAATGCTTTCCATCGGTCGACCGACAAAAGAGCCGTTGGCTCCTAACGGCTATTTCCTGAGCAGATTTCTGGGGGCTTTTCTGTCTTTTGTTTTGGGCGTTTTTGGCTGAGCTTTGAGTGAGTATATATACCCCATTG